CAGCACTCTAATCCCAGCACTCGGGAGGCTGACGCAGGAGGATCGTTGGAAGTTCGAGACCAGCCTGGGCTACAAAGTGACCAAGGCCAGGCTGAACTGCATACCGAGACCCTGTCTCAAAAAGAAAAGAACCGGCTTATCTAGCATGGGAGGGAGAAAGGAAACAGTCACATGAGCATGTCATTGTGCTGGGGAGAACAGTGACAGAGCAGGGGACTCTGTCAGCCTCCGCCTAGAGGCAGCAGCAGAGCTGCTACTGTCAGGCATTCTACAGGTTTCCCACACTCAGCTGTTCTGTTTATGCCATGGAAAGAAAAGAGAAACTTGTTCACACGTGGTTTTTTTATACAAGTTCGGTGCTTCTGCGAACATCACCTGGATGCCAGGGCTGCCCTTCCCAAGCGCGTGTGCTAAGTCACAGAGGTGTCCCCGACCCAGGAGGATGTAACTAGCAGCAGGCTCCAGGCACAGGCCACGTCCCGTGGAGACAGGCCCCTGTAACGTGCTTCACCATCACGCATCCCTTGAGCCTGCATATCTGGATATGAGTTTTAATGGTGACAGCGCCCACCTGCCCAGCTCTCTGACAGTCACTGCACCTAAAGATCAGAGGTCACTGGAAGCACTGTCCCAAATGTCCCTTACAGCTCTGTGGCCAATGGAGATGAGATCACACAAATCCCAGCTGTGTGATTCCCCAGCCAAGGGGACCAAGGAGAAAACTCGACACTGCTGGTCAGAAAGGCAGAATCACGGGAGCAAGACCCCAAATGAAGCACATGGGGGAGGCCACCCCAGCAGGCGCAGTGTTAATCCTAAGTCCATGTCCACCAGCCACACTGGCAGGGCCGCCGTCCCGAGCCCGGCCCAAGCCCGGCCCTGCTGCGTGTCTGGCTGCGTGCAGGCTTGTTTTTCAAGTTGGCCGGTCCTCCCTGCAGGCCTCCCGGTGGCGGCAGTGTCACAATCCTGGTGTGATGTCAAAACTGCTTGGAGGGTGATGAACTCTGGCCTCCGATGAGTCAATAGAGGGGTGGCTCTCCTCGAGCTGCTGTTTACACACAATCACTGTGGCCACAGCGGCAGCCAGACCACGGTCAAGGGTCACGGTGCCCAGCGGGTTGGGCCCCAGCTTGCACTCGTCCTGCCCACCTCCTGCAGAGACCCCAGCTTCCGGCCTGGCCCTAGCCCCATGTCTCTAGCACCCGGGAAGGGACCATGGAAGACCCCAGCGCCTGCCAGGAAATGTGCAAGCGGACTGGGCATAGGCTGCCGCGCCCCAGCCCGATGCCCAGCTGCTCACTGCCCGCGCAGCTCCTGCGTGGTGATTCAGCCGCCCAGCCAGCGCCCGTGCCTTCACCTGCCATGGGCTCATGGGGAGAGGACGAGACCAGTCGTCCATCGCCTCCTGGCACAGCACTGACATGGCCAGTGACCGGAGGAATCTGTGCAGCCACCCGTGTCACAATGTTTGGGGCCACCTGGGGCCAGAGTGTGGAAGTCATGCTGGTCTAAGGCCCGCAGCTCGACTCTCTCAGAGCTGTGTGCCCCACACACGCAGCCTCTCCCACCGAACCTGAGACTGGGCACTGCAGGGGTACCCTGGGACTGCGGGGGCAGGAACACTGCCTCAGTGTGGAGAAGCACATTCTTTGATTAGAATGCACTGAGGACACAATGATTTGTTTAACCTGTCTCAGATCCTCCTGTCTCAGCCTCTGGAGTGCTGGGCTTATAGGCGTGTGTGTTGGATTACATGTGAGAAGGGTAATCCTTTAATTATCCTTGCTAAAATGTTTGGTATCCGTCCATCTGTCCTAGCTACGTCCTTGATTCTCACTCAATAAAAGGTGACTGAATTTGGTATTTGAGGCTGCAGTCCGAGAGGCTGTAAGCCCCCTCATCCCAGACTTTTTACCTCTTGGTCTTTTTTCTTACTTTTCATCCGCGGTCACCTCGTTCTCGGGACCTGATACCCTGAATAGAACGACACCTCAGAGCTCACCTGTCCCCCTCACAAAGTGGGACCATGAGCCAGCCTTCCAAACCCAGTTGGGGCCATGCGCCTGGGGAGGGGCTCGCTGGAGAAGGACCCAAGTGCCTGAGGCCCAAGCAGGCACACCACCCCCGGGGCAGGGGGGCGGAACTCAGGCTAAGTAAGGCTGCTCTGCCACCGCTGCCTGGGTTGCTGCCCATGCAGCTGTCCAGCAGTGGGAGGCAGCCCCTGCAGTCACAGCAAGCAGGGCACCTGGAAAGCTTTCCCAGGCCACCCCCTTGACCTACATCACCCAGCCTGTGCAAGGAGACCACAGGTGTCACCTCCCAGCAGCACCCACAGGACAACCACCCGCCACACCTCACTCCCCCATTTCCTTCCTAGTGCTGACCCTCAGAGCCCACCCAAGCCCCAAGAGGAAATGGCCCAGGCCGTGGGGTCGGATGCCCTGGCTTTGTCACTTCCTAAGGCGGTCAGGAGACACTTCTCCACGCAGGTGAGGGACACTGTCCTGGGAAGACGAGCTGCACCCCTTCGCTCCCAACTCAGCAGGGTGCCGGGATGTACAGAGGAGCAGCACCCTGCACACACTGCTCCACCCTGACCTGGCCACCACCAGCCCACGCCTTGGGGCAGCCCCTCCCTGGGGAGAGGCCCCCACAGCTCGCAGGAGCCGCAGGCGAAGTGCCACAGCAGAGCAAGTGCCTTTCCAACACCTGTCCTCATCTGAATTTACAAGAGCATCTTTGCAATTAAAATGCTACAATAAGCCAAGCACAATGGTGCATGCCCGTACACTCAGCACTTTGGGAGGCTGAGGCAGGAGGATGGCAATAGAAAACAGAAAACTGGCTACTGGTTGGCAGAACTGGGCACATGAGGTTTTGCTAACAACCAACACACTTCTCTGGTTGCCCAAGTGCTTCAAGTGCTCTCAGTGCCCACCACGCAAAACCAGGCTGCATTAACGTTCATCCTGCCACGGGTCTCAGCTCACTGGACAACACCGCCCACTGGGCAAGACTAAGTACCACTAAGTGCCACGCCACTTTGGGGACCAGTCAGCCAGCCTTTGAAAACTGCACCAGTGTGGATGGCCCCATAATGTCAGCCAGATGGCCAAGCTGCCCTGGGCAGCTTGAGTCTTCCCTGTGAGGGAGCCCCTCCTGGATGGGTGATACGCTGCCATCCACAGCTGGGCTCCAGAAGGGATATACTCAACAATCTGCTGTCACCTTCCCCCTTACACGAGGAAGAGCCAGCTTAGCGAGGGGATGTAACCCACACCCGAAATTAAAAATAGCAGCATGATGGCACGAGGTGGCCCACAGGCAGGCCGTCTGGGCTGGTGTGAGGGAGGGCCCTCTGGGGGAAGGCGGGGCTCCTGGTCCCAGCCCAGAAGCCCATGGAGCAGCCAGGTACCAAGTTCACCTTATTCACAGGCACGCTCTCCCGGCCTATTTCTGGGAAGGCCGCCTTCCATCAGGATAAGTCAGAATCGCCCAGGGGAAACAACTCCAGGCTGGACTTCCACCAGGAAGAGTAGCTCGGGTTGGTCAGCAGGCAGCCACCGCCGCCGTCACCCCACGTCACCATTGCGTGCTCCTCCTCACCTGCAGGGGCGCCTTAGCCTCGTCGTGGGGAATCTTTGACAAGGTGAGAACTAGCTCGTCCAAAAAAGATGAAATCCTGTTCTACAAAGGGGAAAGCTGAGCCAGCAGGAGGGAAAGGCAACTGCCCGAAGAAGAGGGGAGCCGCGCTGGAGGGGTGGGTTCTGGCCACTCGAAGGGAACACAAATCAGGAGAAATTCCGGGCTGAGCTCATGGTGCTGAACAAGTCCAGGGCAGGAAGAAAGCCACATTCCTTCCGAGTTACTCTGCTCACCCACCCGTGGCCCCCCCACGGCCAGCGCGCGCGCACAGGGCTGGCCGGAGCCACCTTCCGATCACCGAGCCCCACTTTCCAGGAAAGGAGGCACAGCACTCCCAAACCACTTCCCCTCGGGTCCTGACCGCGGAGATCGGCGACTCTGTCCCCGGCACAGGCGGCCGGTGCCATGACACCAACAGAAATGGGAAGACTAGGGTTTCTGATCACAGCGCCGGATGTGCCCCAAAGTTAGGCCTGAAAGGGGGGCTAAGCGGTCTCCCCACCCTTCTCCCCAACGAGGTAGGCAGAACCGAAAGGTCTCAAAGTTCCCCAGATGGGGCCCAAAGCAGCCCGAGGAGTCAGAGTCGGCAAGCAGGTGTGGTGGCCAGACTCACGGGAGCGCCACTGCGGGCTCCGGGCCTGAGAAAAGCACCCTGGTTAGTGACCCCCACACACAGGCGCCCTGGGGAGACGTCGCGGCCAGCCCCCCTCAAGCACTCCCTCTCCTCAGTGATGTTCAGGCAGACAGGGTCACCTGAAGGGGGACAACTGTCAGTTTCTGCCCAATACACCCCTTCCGAGAATCGACAGTGGGGCCCAAGCCGAGGGGTCTCCTGGAACGCCGCACACACCCAGTGCAGACCCGGACTTCCGGGACCCCCAGGTACCCCAACAGCAGTGCCCCCACCCTGCAGGCACCAGGACACTAAAGCAGCTTCCCAGAACGCAGACACTGTCACCCCACCTTCCCGTCCAGGTGCCCCCGCCCGACACCGGCCCAGCAGCGCTGTCCGCGCCGCGCGCCAGGTGCGCACGGACCCTGCCCAGGTACCGGACCAGACAGCGCGGGCCCGGCGCCCCAGCGCCACCGCGGAC